GTAACAGGGAGGTTTTTTCCATTCCGGACGGGAGGTGGGGTTAAATTCCTCTGAACCAATGTCAAGGCCCGAAAATTAACATACATCTGTTTTCTTGTCTTCCAACAACCCAGCCAGCCAAAAGGAAACTGTGCTACTGGTAATATACTCAGAGTCTGAAATGTACCTTAAGTGGACGCTGTCAATGTTCATGGCCAGCCCTTGGCTATTTTCAGCAAAACGGAATGATTTAGTTGTTTGGTTCATTGGGTACTGTTACTCCGCAGGTGTATTCCGACCAAAAGTGAAACAGCATAAAGCCGTTCATTGTCCAAAGCTGAATTGTCAGGTACTGACAGTGTAAATTTGGTGAGTTTATAGTTTTGTTTTTTGTTTTTCATTTTAATTGGAACATTTAATAGGCATAAAAGCAAAACAGATAATTCTATATCTTTTGAAATAACTGAACAGCAAAGAAGTTTTGAGAATGTGTCTTGTATTTACATAAAGGGTCATTGAGCTAATGGACTTCCACTCCAGTCCGAAGTAAAACTGTTCCATGTCCTGGAAGAGCTTTAAGACAGGAAAGGACTCAGCCCCATGTTTTAAAATAATAATGAGAAATGAAACATTAGGAACAGGTTAGAGATACTAGAGGTACAATAAGCCAGATGCAGGGATTGAAAGTTCTTGGGCTGGGGTCTTAGTGCAAAGGAAGAGCATACAGTGCGTATGTGCAAGGTTCTGCATTGCTAATACAGAGCAACATACACATACAAACAGAAAGGCTGTCAGTTTTTGGAGTGGAAAATTTTGTTCCAAGGAACACTGGATCACATTTGGAGACATTTTGGTTGGTACATCTGCAGAATGGATGCTTCTACAGGCCAAGTAGGATACTAAACACCCCTCATTCCATAGGACAGGCCCCAAATGTCACTCATGCCAAGACTGAGAAATCCCTACTCTGTGTTCAATAATGTTATTTAATTTTACTTGGGCTTACATCACATGACAAATCTACATGGAGACAATGAATAATAAGCATATGATGATTTTAGTAGTCAGCATATAATAACATTTCATCCTGCTCATTTGTACAACACAATTTGGTTGAGATTGCCTCAGGTAAGCTTCAATTCAGATTGCTTCATTTGGAAAGCTCTATTTTAGGCCTTAAGGTCCCACATATAACACGCATATGTTATTCAAAGAGGAAGTCTCCAAAGCAAATTGAAGATAAAAAAGTTTGCTTTGTAAGCTGCTACTGAACCTTGGACACTTAGATAAAATTTTAGTGAACATTTTTATTTAGCATTAAGTATTGATGCCTTTACTTGCTTTGGTATCTGCTGTGTCCTCTCTGCCTATGTTGGCCTCCAAATGCACATCTCAGAACAGACCCCTCACATAGATGAACATTTTCATTACAGACTGCTGTATTGCTGTGTGCTTTCATTTTAAATCTTTTTAAAATTAGAATGCACATATTTATTAATGAATTTTGTTCTTTATTTCCTGCATGCACATAATGCATCCTGATTACTTTCTCCCCTACCCTCTCTTATTTACCTCCCACCTGTCAGCTCCCCTCTTCTTTACAAATCTCTTTCCTACATTCATTAGTTTTTTTTTGTTTCCCACAGTTTAACTAGGTTTATCTGTGTGGTCCTGGGTTTGAAACTATGCATTACAGCCTTTTGTGCTCACTAGTGGAGATATAATTGGATGCTATGCTTCCCCCTCAGCTGGAATCTGTTAGTTTCCAATAAATCAGCAGTAAGTGGTAGGGCCCCTATGAGTCCCTTCCCCATCTGTGTCCAACTGTTAGGAGGGCCTGATTTGTGTGGGCTCAGTGCCAATAGGCACAGTTTCGGAGTTTGTGATTGTCACAGCCATGTTGTACTTAGAACATGGCATTTGCAACCCTTCTCCTTATCTTCTGGCTCTGTCTTTCCACCCTCTCTTCCACAATGTTTCCTGAGACCTAAGGGAATGGTAGAAATGTCTTCTTTAGGGCTAATTCAGCTAAGCAGCAGTATTAGGTTCTCTTTCCTAACCCCCCAGAGCCTAAGACCGCTTCAGTCATGGTTTTTTGGACCAGGTTTACAGTAATAGGCATGGGTTCCTTCTTGTATAGCAGGCCTCAAGGCTAAGCAGGGAGTGGTTGGTTACCCCCATGACAGGTGTGTCACTGTTGCACAAATGGACACATCTTGCCTGGTGGTTTGGTATAGCAATTCATAGAGTTCACAGGTGGACAAGACAATTGATATCTTTGCTGTCCCCACCCTCAGCAGGATGCATATCACTACCTGACACTCTGAAAGCTGGCCAGCAAGAAGAAAGCTTCCAGCTCAGTTCCAGCTTGATTTCTCTATATTTTGTATCAAGATGTATGGTATCTTCAGCAATAGGAACTAGTTCTAGTTCTGATGGGCAACTAAGATAAATAGCAAGATCCGGTATTTGCGGGGAGAGGGGGCTCCCTGGCCAACAATTCCTGTGGAGGTATTCCATACTTGGCATTAAGATTTTTGTTTAGTAGCCCTTCACTTCTATGACCAACACTGTCTAGCCTTTCAGAATATCTGCCTTTGATCTCTTTTTGTGTTTTTATTTCTTTGTTTGAGACAAGGTCTTACTGTGTAGCACTGCCTTACCTGAAATTCTTTATGTAGACCTATGTGGCCCTGAACTCCCAGCGATCCACCTGCCTCTAGCTCCAAAGTGCTGAGATTAAAGACATACGTCACCACACCCAACTCTTTTATGTTTTTTGATTGGGTTACCAGATGGTTTTCTCATACCCCCTTCATTTTGAATAACACTCCCCTATCCTCTTCCTTCAGCTCCCACATACCCCCACAAGTCCCCCCAACTTACTGAACCTATTTGAATATTTTCACTGCCAATATTCACCACCTTCCACTTTCATTTTACCTATGTGTTACTATCCCTCCTCCCTTAAGGCAACCCCTCACTCCACTGCCCCCTTTCAGTTTCCTGGCTTCCAGATGTGCTCCAAATTAAATACACAAACTAAAGAGCTGATGCTAGGATCTGAATATAAGAGAAAGCATATACCGTTTGTTTTTCTGGTCCTGGATTACTGTGCTTGTTAAATTTACAGTTTCACCCATTTCCCTGAAAATTTCATTTTTCTTTATAGCTGAATAAAATTTCAGTATGTATATGTACCACATTTTTGTTATCCATTCATCAGTTGATGTATATTTAGGCTGATTCCATTCTCTCGCTATTGTGAATAGCATCTGCAATGAAAATAGATGTACAAGTGTCTCAGTAGTAGGATATAGATTCCTTAGGGTATATGCCCAAGAGTGGTATGGTTAGGTCATATGGTAAATCCATTTCTTTTTTTTTTTTTTCTTTTTTCTTTTTCTGTCTTTTTTGAGACAGGGTCTCCCTGTAGCCCCAGCTGGCCTGGAACTCACTATGTAGATCAGGCTGGCCTCAAACTCACAGAGATCTGCCTGCCTCTGCCTCCTGAGTGCCTGGCTGGTAAATCTATTTCTAGTTTTTTGAGAAACCTCCAAACTGATTTCTAAAGTGTGCTCAGTTTCCACCCCCACCAGCAGTGTATAAGGGTTCCCTTTTCCCACATTCACACTAGCATTTATTGTCATTAATACCTCTGAAATTTAGGAAATTTTGATGCCAACAAAGACTTAAAAATAGTTTTAGCCAAGTGTTGTGGCACATGCCTTTAGTCCCAGCATACGGGAGGCAGAGTTAGGCGGATCTCTGTAAGTTCAAGGCTAGCCTGGTCTACATAGTGAGTTCCAGGACAGCTGGGGCTGTGAAGGGAGACCTTGTCTCAAAAGGACCAAAAAAAAGTAGTTTTAATATTTAAAACTTGAATTTACCAGAAGCAAAACTTAGGCAAATTGTCTTGTATATAATTTAGCAGATTAAACAAGCATGGCATAACATACCATTAATATCTACTTTGAAGCCTAAAACCAAAGAAGTGCCAAATGCCCAAAATAAAATAAAAATGTAAACTGAAGCTAAAAAGATGTACTATTAAACACTGAACTCCCAGGCCAGCCTGAGATGTCTGAGAACCTGTCTGAAAAACAAAACAAAATAAACATTAAACTCCAAAGACAACTTTTTGCCAAAACCCAGCATCTTGTTAAAGCAGGCCAGTGAGTAGGTAGGCTCAATATCTTTTCATCATGGTTATTATGTTAAGCAGCTGTCAGCAGTTTACTATTTCAGTATTCCTTCTTATGAGCACAGTAATTAACTGGGCAGACATGATATATACCTGTAATCATTTGGGAGGCTGAGGCAGGAGGATCACCTTGAAATTAAAGTAAGTTTGGG